GTATGATTTGGCAAAGCTTCATAACAGTGATCATGATGCACATGACTTTAACTGGAAGAAGTGTGTGTGGCAAGTTCAGACATCCCCTAAAATCAAGCACTTCCTGTGGAAAACGAAGTGTGGAGCTTTCCCGGTGGGAATAAACCTTGAACGTCGAGGTTTGTTTGTGGCTAAAGGGTGTAAGCGCTGTGGGGCTCTTGAATCTGAGCTTCATGTTCTCCTCCACTTCCCTGTTGCGGTTAAACTCTGGGACCTAGTCCCGTGTTTATATAAACCGTCACTGAGCGGTATTACTTCGGTCTTGGAACTTCTGCAACAATGTGCGAGAATGGTATCCCTTCCCCCGCTTGGTCTTGGAAGTACTCCTCTGTTCCCCTGGATTCTTTGGATCCTCTGGACAAATAGGAATAATTTTTTGTGTGAGGATTTGACCTTCTCTGAAGAGAGCTCGATTCTTAAAGCAATTCAAGACGCTCGAGGATGGAAAATGGCTCAGAGTTGTGTCTCGAAAACTACATTACCACATTCTGTGGTTCCTTCTCTACCAGCTTCTATTACTAACTCTTATACTTGGTCTTCCTTTTCGGATGCAACTTGGGACTCTGCTACAAGAAACTGTGGGCTGGGTTGGTACCTATGTGATGCAACATGTACTAGTGAGGAAAGCTCTTCTTCTCACCGCCATTTGGTTCCCTCGGCTCTAGTAGCGGAGGCTTTGGCGGTTAAAGCAGTGGTCACTGCGGCTGCCTCTTCTCATATTAGATGTCTCAATGTTTCTTCAGACTCTAAGGCGCTCATTCTCATCCTGAAATCTCAGGATCGCAATGTAGTCTTGAAGGGAATTCTCCATGATATCAGAATCTTGGCGGTCTCCTTCGAATCTATCTCCTTTAATTTTATCCCGCGTTTAGCAAACTCTATTGTTGATTCCTTAGCGAAATCAGCCGTGTACTATGTTATTCCTCTGCCATCTGCAACTGTGTAACTTCCCTATTAATCAAGTACTTTTAGCTCAAAAAAGGAACTCTAAGGGGAAGAACCCCCAATGGAGATGTTCTAACACAAGCCACAAGGCCCACAACACAGATTTTCACACGTTACAAGTAGCCAGTATACACACTATTAAAGCAATTTTTTATTTATTTATGTGTCTGCACATGGCTCATTTCGACCCCACATGCATCTTTCTCGCCCAATAAGAGCATCCGCAACCGTAAGACTCATAAGAGTCCTTAAGAAGAAAAGGTATTTCGGATTTGGTAAGGATATTTCGGATTTTTTTTTTTTTAAAGAAAAAAAAGATGACCATTTGTGGGCTGCCACGTGTCTTGGGAACCCACAAATAATGTAAGGAGTCGCTAAGAAACAGTCCTTATTTAGGGATTTTAAAGATCGAATTCTTAACTTTTTGTGGGGTCTATTGATTATTTAATTATTTTTCTCTAAGTACTCTCCCTAAGGATTCCCGTTGGAGGTGCTCTTAGCTTCCTACCTTACTCACCCGCTTTCTTATCCTTGGTATCTGGTTCTGCTTCCGGTTTGGGATCAGGTTTATCATCTGTAATCGGTTCCGTTACAGCTTTGGTGCTTGATTCAAACCCTTTCAGCATTTGGGTTTGATACGGGTTCAGTTCTGGTTCAGCCTTGGGATTTGGATCAGTTTTGAGAGATTCAGTTTAATCATGACGAAACTTAACAACAATGGATGTGATGTTATCTGCTCTAATAAAGTCGTTAATGGAATTGGTCTGTAATGGACTCAGTAATTAATGAATACTAGATCTCGACCCGCACAACCATGCGGGTATTTTAATACGAATATATTTGAAATTATATAATACTCACTTCGTTTTAAATAGATGATGTCTTATAAGATTTATTTTATTTTAAAATATAAGATGATTTGAGTGTTTAAGGTATATTTTGAGGTTTTAAATTTATCTTTAATTTTATTGGAAACTGTTCAATCGATAAAATTTTACTCTTTTTAATAATTTGTTGAATGATTATAAAACTATATCTTTAAAAATACTTTTGTAAAAGAATGTAAATTTCTTAATTTTTGTGCTATGATCCCAAAAATCATATATTAAGTAACAGAGGGAGTAAAATTTATCAATAAATAAATATAATTTGATTGTATATACTATCCAATTTTATGATAATATTTATGTAGCTTATAATATTATTAATTTAATATTTATAAATTTGTATTTTTGTAACAATTTTTAAAAACATTATTATGTAACATTAATAATTTATATATTTTTTTTTATATTTCTAAATGTTAAATATATAAAAAAAGTAAATTAAATTGGACCTACATAATACATAAACAAAATTTTGGGATATTGTTAAAAGTATATTACATAATTTTATTTTTTTGTTAAAAATGAATTAAATTTTAATTCTATTTTATGATAATTAAATTTTTAATCAAATAATTTCTGAAAATATATCATGAAAAGATTCTATAAGATTTTTAAAAGATTTTGTTAGAATTTTCTTAAAATTATTTATTTGTATTTTAAATAAAAATTAAAGATATGAAAAGATATTATAATAATGTTATGTAAATTTATATAAAAATTCTAAGGATAGTCCAAACTAAAAAAATCACACATGAAGTGAGTCAGGACTTCTCTTTTAATATAATAGATGGTTACTATTTGTCCCCAACACAAGAAATGTCCATATGGGTCCAAGCTATAGCCAAACTTATGAGAAATGTAGTAAACTTAATGAAACCACGATCTAACTTTTCATTTTACGATTATCCGTTTTTTATTGATCATGGAAGCTGGTTTCATGGATACACATCCCTAATTTACATTTGCTCAATGCATGCTTGTAAGTCAATTATTGGAGATGTAAGATAATTACAAGCTACAGAAGAATATTATGAACTGGTGTGTAATTTCCTTGAAGCTTCCTCTAACAAATCATGCAGCACAACCCACAGATCATTATGCAGTCGTCAAACCAACCAAGCACAACCATGGATGAGGCTGTATCAGTCTTTCGATGTTTTTTTTATGGCCAAAGAACAAAGAAACCACTCCAATTTCAGTCACAACTAAATATTTTTATATGAGATTGAAGGAATGATGTTTGCTACTGTAAAAGTACACAACTTTTGTTCATTTTTGTATTCAAATCGTGTAGTTGTATAATTTAGTTTCTATACGGAAAGAGTATACATTTTAATAATGATAGTGGTAGCATGGATATTTTCCATTTTTAAAATCTATTTTGTTTTGTATTCGTTCAAATAGCTTACAAACCATCAGTTCTTGTGAGACAACATCCATTAACTACAGTAGAAGCTTTTTTTCTTCTTGTCATCTACTACAGTAGAAGCTTAATATACAGATCTGATTATTTCTTGGTTTGCATATATATATATATATATATATATATATATATATATATATATATATATATATATATCTTGCATGTTTAATGACAAGCAAATGGGAGGCGGTGATGTGTTTCCCAAACCAAGAAAACATGTCATTAAGAAATTAAAGATGTTAGGACTAAGTTTGAAAAAATATGATTAATGTTAGGAAGATATCAGTTTCTTATTCAACTAAGGTTACCAAATTCTATAATCTACGTCTTTCATGATATAAATATACAAACTATTAAATGCGGCTGTAAGTTTTATTTGAATCCTTCACATAGATTTTCAAAGGAAATTATTTTTGATTAAGTTAAAAGGGACAAACTGAGGTATAAATTAGATGGAGAAATTGCCTTAGATTGTTTAGGAATTGGCTAACTAGCCAAAAAATCTGCTTAATGACCTGTTTAATCCAAAAATGCCACCTTGTTTAATAGTGTAACTAGATTTCGACCCGCACAACCGTGCGGATATTTTAATACGAAATATTTGAAATTATATAATAAAATTTATCAATAAATAAATATAATTTGATTATGTATACTATCCAAGTTTATAATAATCTTTGTGTGATTTATAATAGTATTAATATAAAATTTATAAATTTTTATTTTTGTAACAGTTTTATAACATTATTATGTAACATTACTAATTTATATATTTTGTTTTATTTTTAAATTTGAAATATATGTAAAAATTAAATTAAGTTGGACCTACATAATATACATAAACAAAATTTTGGGATATTGTTAAACGTATTTTACATAATTTTAATTTTTTGTTTGTAAAAAATGAATTAAAATTTTAACTATATTTTATACTAATAATTAAAATTTTAGTCAAATAATTGTTGAAACTATATCTTGAAAAGATTCTAAGAGATTTTTAAAAGATTTTGTTAGAATTTTCTTAAAACTATTTATTTGTATTTCAAATAAAATTAAAGATGTGAAAAGATATTATATTGATGTTATATAAAATTTTATAAATTTCTAAGGATGATACAAATTAAAATATCACACATGAAATGAGTCATGACTTCTCTTTTAATATAATAGATTATAGAAAAATCTAACTAGTTTAGAAACAACTAACGCTTAAGAAACCCCCTAGAACACTTTGTACTATGAGAAATGAAATCCTAAATTTATAAAATAAATACTTTTTTGCAATGCAATTAGGAAACTCTGCTAGTTTGTACAATGTGAAAGTTCGGAGAGAGATTCATAGTGATAAAATATAATTTCACTTTAAAGAAAAGTACTGGTATGTACTCTATATAATCTCTCAACCTATTCGTCTACTATATATATATAGTTATAACTCGGCAACAAAACATAGAGTTACAATTGCGGACAAAAAAAAAAAAAACATAGAGTTACAACTCGAAATAAAAATGATTTCGTACTAAAAATTCGGAGTTGTTCATAAGTTCTTGTTTGATTTCTACAGTGTTCTTTCGTTTTTTGTTCTTTACTTTTTCCTGTTGAATTATTTTTCGACTTGTTCCATTACACAAAAACTTGGGAGTTGCTCTAGAAAAGTTTTAAAATTTCTGAATATTGAAGAGACACGAAGTTGTGTATCAACAACAATGAATTTCCGACCAGACAAGTTCGTTAGGTCAGTCTTCCTTTACATTTGTCTCTCCTCAAACCTTAGTTCCTGGAGCTTAATCTGGATCTGTTTCTTCACTTGTTGGAAATCAGGTTTCACGACTGGAAGTCGGACAAGACTTCCGACGTAGAACACTCCGAGAGAGACGAGGTGACACATGGAATATTCCGGAGAGCAATAAACTCAATCTCCAACAAGTTTCACAGAAGCTTTGAATCAAGCTCCTTAAGGATCAAAATGTTCAGGAGGTCTTACAAATCTTACTCTTTGAAAGAAACTGTTTCGAAAGGGATTGTTTCCACTCACAAGATACTTGACCCACAAGGACCTTTCCTTCAGAAATGGAACAAGATCTTTGTTTTAGCTTGTATCATCGCTGTCTCTGTCGACCCTTTGTTCTTCTACGTCCCTGTCCTCGACAAGGCCAGGAACTGTCTTGGTATTGACGATAAAATGCAGATAACCGCAAGCGTTTTGCGCTCCATCACTGATCTCTTCTACGCTATTCACATGGTCTTCCAGTTCCGTACTGGCTTCATCGCTCCTTCCTCTCGTGTCTTTGGGAGAGGTGTGCTTGTTGAGGACAGGCGAGAGATCGCTAAACGTTACCTGTCCTCTCATTTCATCGTCGACATTCTTGCCGTGCTTCCTCTTCCACAGGTTTGGGGTTTTGAGGGGAAAATGGGTTTAGTAGATTATTTACAAAATTAATACTTTCATATTATTAAATTATATGGTAATACCGTTTTAAAAATTTTATGTTGTAAAGAAAGTTATATAAATCGTATTGAAAGATAAGCTAATTATGTTAATAGGAAACCAAAGTATTTTTAATAATTTTAGTTATTTTTACATTTTGTAATAATTAGTTTAATTATTGATATTTGTTTTTCTTATAACAAAGTAAATACAATATAGGTATTTTAATCAATTTAGTATATAATTCCATGTTCCGCAAATTTTAAAATTTTCAGTGGCTAATTAATTAATTTTTTCTTTCATGATTGAGCAAGGGTTACCAATAGGAGCCTTGGTTTTATCTATCTATCTATCCAAGCCAGTAGTTCGGTTATAATGCGAGTGATTGCTATATTCTCAGATGGTGATCTGGATTATCATTCCGTGTATGACAAACTCCAAGCCTTTGCACACAAAGAATATGTTGAAGTTCATTGTTTTCTTCCAGTACATACCGAGGTTTATAAGAATCTATCCGCTCTATAAGCAAGTGACGAGAACCTCTGGCATACTTACTGAGACAGCTTGGGCAGGAGCTGCTTTTAATCTCTTCCTCTACATGCTTGCTAGTCATGTGCGTCCCATTAGTTCCTTCCTAACCCTTTCTTAATTTCTAGGATGATCATCAGAGCTTAAACCGGTCAATTTGGTGCAGGTGTTTGGTGCTTTCTGGTATTTGTTCTCCATCGAGCGCAAAACTGTGTGCTGGAAACAAGCTTGCCGCAGAAGCAAGTGCATAATAGACTCGCTGTATTGTAAGTCTGGCACTTCAGGAAACAACACTTTCCTCAATGGGTATTGTCCGGTTCTGGAACCAAACACAACAAGTTTCGACTTTGGGATATTCCTTGGCGCACTCGACTCCGGTGTAGTGGAGTCTCAAGATTTCCCTCAGAAGTTCTTTTACTGTTTCTGGTGGGGTCTCCAAAACCTCAGGTATTGAATTTTCCCATCATGCACAAAAGACACAACAATTACTGTTCTTGTGTGTTTCTTGATCCAGTTCGCTCGGTCAAAACCTTAAAACAAGTAAATACATTTGGGAGATCTGTTTCGCGGTCTTTATTTCTATCTCCGGACTGGTTCTGTTCTCGTTCTTGATAGGCAACATGCAGGTTAGGTTCTCACCTTCATTTGAGTTGTCCATAGTGTGTTGCAAAATGATTGCTAACTTTTATGTGCAGACGTATCTGCAATCAACGACCACAAGGTTGGAGGAGATGAGAGTCAAGAGAAGAGACGCAGAACAATGGATGTCTCACCGTTTGCTCCCTGAGAATCTAAGAAGAAGAATCCGGCGTTACGAGCAGTACAAATGGCAAGAGACAAGAGGCGTTAACGAAGAGAATCTCCTAAGGAACCTCCCTAAAGATCTTAGACGCGACATTAAACGCCATCTCTGTCTCGCCCTTGTCATGCGGGTCCCCATGTTTGAGCAAATGGACGAACAGCTTCTTGACGCTCTGTGTGACCGTTTGCAACCTGTGCTGTACACAGAGGAAAGCTACATCGTCAGAGAAGGAGATCCTGTAGATGAAATGCTCTTTATAATGCGAGGGAAGCTTCTAACAATGACAACAAACGGTGGAAGAACCGGTTTCTTCAACTCCGAGCATCTTGGAGCCGGTGATTTCTGCGGTGAGGAGCTTCTAACATGGGCTTTAGACCCACACACATCCACAAACCTCCCAATCTCAACGAGAACCGTTCAAGCTCTCGTGGAAGTTGAAGCTTTCGCACTTAAAGCTGACAACCTCAAATTCGTGGCTTCTCAGTTCAGACGTCTACACAGCAAACAGCTTAGACATACTTTCAGGTTCTACTCGCAGCAATGGAGGACTTGGGCAGCTTGCTTCATACAAGCCGCGTGGAGAAGACACGTGAAGAAGAGACTAGAGGAGACTCTTAGAGAGGAAGAGAATCGTTTACAGGACGCTTTGGCTAAAGAAGCTTGTGGAAGCTCCCCTAGCTTTGGTGCTACGATGTATGCGTCACGGTTTGCTGCAAATATCTTGCGGACTATACGTAGGAGCGGTTCAGTACGTAAACCGATGAGGATGCTGGAACGAATGCCACCTATGCTACTTCAGAAACCAGCAGAACCAGATTTCAATAGTGATGATTATATGCATATAGGAGCAATATATAAAAATAGAAGTCTTTAATATATTAAAAGGAGTGAGCTTAGAGAGATACAAAGCCTCCTATGATGTTATTATTTCCTCTTTTACAGAGGTTTTATATGATGGATAAAGTATAAATGTTGAGCTAAACAAAAGTCAAGAAGAAGGCAGAAGTGAAGCCACTTCTCTTCTTAGGAATGTGGGCAAAGCGAAAGCTGCTCTATGCATCTGTTTTGGAAAAGAAAAGACAGATTAAGATTATGTCCAAGTGAACCTATGGAGAAGTCATTAAGAACTTACATCCGAGTTATAAAACTTCATTTCTCGCTTATAAGCCATGGCACCGTCTAGTTTCTCAATAGGGTTGATAGGGTTCTTAAAGTCAACATCAGGACCATCGGTAGAGCACAAGACGAAACCGATCACGCCACTAGGAACAAATAAAGACTTTTTCTCACTTCATATGTTCTTTTCAGTGAGACCAAGAAATGTGATTAGAAGAAAACTACAAGTTACCTTGGATATGTTGGGACGCTGCTCCATGCATACTGAACGTTTTTGAACGTTTGGCGGCAGATTGAGATCATGTCTTCAATGAGATGAGTGTGGAGCCACATACTTTCGGCCATGTTGCAAAGAATTCCTCCAGGTTTCAACGCTCTAGCTAACGTTTCAAAGAAAGGCTTCTCAACAAGAGCCTGAGCAGGACCTGTGATTGTTATATACAACCAAAAAGCGTGAGAGAGGTAAAACTCATCAACTACTACTCAGATATCTATAGAGAATCATTACCAACAGGATCAGAAGAGTCAACAATAATGGCATCATACTTCCCTTCAGGGGAGTTACGAAGGAACTCAACAGCTGCCACAAGAAAGTTATATCAACACAGGGTAAGTTTCAAATAGGTTTTAAAAACAGGGAGTAAGTAAGAAGAATGATTGATTACCATCACCAATGTGAAGATGAACACGAGGATCCTCAAATCCAACCGCTAACTCGGGGAAGAATTTCTTAGACACCTACAGGACCAAACCAATCACATGTTTTCTGAGATAGAGCACAAACCTAAACATATTTATGATGGGCCCCGCAAGACCATATACTTACATCTATAACCATCTTGTCAATCTCACAAATGTCAATAACCTCAACAGAGCTATGGCGAGAAATCTCCCTGAGAACACCACCATCACCTCCACCAACAACCAGGACCTGCAAATATTCACACAACCAAATTCTAGCTTTTAAAAAGTAATGCAAATGTATATGCTTCAAGGTACGGTAATGATCAACAATGGCGAAATGATCCATCTTATGAGATCAAACGTGAACCAAAATAGGCAAGTACATTGCGTCCCACCAGTTTCACAAAAAAAAAAGGAGTAACCATCCCAAACCGTACATACTTTTACTGTATTACTTGCAAGAGGCCACGAGATATGATAGGCAACCATAGTCTAAACTTTCAAGGTAAGGTAAGAAAAATTACATTTTTAGGTGAAGGTGTGGAGCATAGAGGCAGATGGGCTATCATCTCCTGATATGCGAATTCATCTTTTTCAGTCAGCTGTAGTATACCATCTAGAACAAGCACTTTCCCATAGGTAGCTGACTGCAAAAAACAAGAACAAAAAAGAGACTATCTTAGGCATAAACATTTACATAATAAACAAATCCGCACAGTTAGAAGCTGACAGATTCAGAAGATGCTTGCATAAAGACAAAAGCTAGTTCAAACCTCAAACACAAGAACTTCCTGATAGTCTGACTTGTCTTTGAACAAAACTTTCTCAACTTTCAGTGAGTGTGCTTCTCCTACAAAAAAAACAGAACTTCATCAGCCACATGTAGTAAAAGATACTGAAAAGCAAACCCAGCAGAAGTTCACACAAAGACAATCTTAAGGTAGTAATAGATACTGAAAAGCAAAAAAAACAAGCCTATTAAAAGGTAAACTACCTGGCCACATAGGGTTATTGAAATACACTGCTTTGCCTCTTTTCCCTGCAACCAATCAAGAACAATAAAAGCACAAAAATAAGATATGATGTTCTGATGAAATAGAGAAGCTTGACAAGAAAAGAAGAAAAGAATAAGACCAGAGCGAGGGTGAGGAGGTTCGGAGAACCATCCAGAAACAACAGTGGAGTGGCACTTAGCATCTTCCTCTGGTAAGCAAGACATGGCCTTGAGGCAACAAGAAGGTACACTCTTCTCCAAACCATTTCCGTTACTCGCATTCCCATCCATAGTCTTCTGGCATGCCAAATCTTTTACGCCTTCTCCCTCCATAGACAATCCTTTTCTTCTTCCCCAGCTCCAGCCTCTGTATACTGCAAAAACAAAAAAAGCAACCAGAACCAGGCCCAGAAACTTTAAGAAAACTAACAGTTTTGAATTTAGATTCAGCAGAATTGTTTAGCGCTGAAGGAAGAAGAGAAAGTAGATTTAGCATTAAAAAACGAATCTGAAGTTGAAGACTTTGCAGACAAGTGTTGGTCCGAATAAAAAAGTTTATAACTTTAAGAAATTCATCAACCAAAAAAAGAACACAAGAATTGTCTCAAGACCGTAACTTTCCAGACAGCATTGACCCAGGAGATATAAATCACAGCAAATCAAGACATCGGAGCTCATTCCCAGGAGCAAAACAGATTAATGGAGACCAGAAGAGAGAGAGAGAATGATACCTGGTGGTTAACAGCTGAGAAGAGAGAGAGAGGGGAATCAGGAAGCTAGAGGTGATCTGAAGAAGAAACAATGGGCGGGAAGGATTAAACTAACTGAAAGAAAAAGAAAAAGACAAAAGAGAATTTGTTCGAATTTGGGTCTGTTTCTCACTTTCGGTGTTGCGTTTCTGACTTCTCTTCGGCACTTTCTGTGTGTTGTAAAGGTTTTATTTGTTTTCCAACCCCACCACACGACTTAAAGAACCTTTTTATAATTCTTCATATTCACTTTATCCTCGTGGGATGTTTCTACAATATCTTTAGACCCGATGAGAACTAGATTTTCTGACTTCTCTTCGGCACTTTCTGTGTGTTGTAAAGGTTTTATTTGTTTTCCAACCCCACCACACGACTTAAAGAACCTTTTTATAATTCTTCATATTCACTTTATCCTCGTGGGATGTTTCTACAATATCTTTAGACCCGATGAGAACTAGATTTTGATCCGCGCTTGAAAAGCACGAAATTTTTTTATGATTAAAAATTTATATAATTGAATTTTGTCTTAATTTAAAGAATGTTTTGGTATAAAATCAGTTCACCAAAATATGTAGTGATGATTTTTTTCATTGGTTTTAATTTCAGTTTTTAGTTTTAGATTTTGGTTTTTAGTTTTTAAGTTTCTATTTTTGATTTTCAGCTTTTGGTTTGGGTTTTTAATTTTTAGACGCGTTGAGTTAGTTTGAACTAATATTACCAACAAATCCCAAAAATCGAACATCTAATCTAAAACTGAAAAGATGACAAAAATTTTTTAAAAAAATTTGCAGTAGTTTATTTTGTAAATAATCAAAAGCAAAAAAATATAACCTGCGTTTTCAGCTTTTGGTTATGGATTTTAGTTTTTAGATTTGGTTTTTGGTTTTACTTTTCATTTTTTAAAATCTGTAAATTATTTAAGAAAAATAAAATAATAAATTATTTAAAAATTACCATTGAAATTTACCATTGAAAAGCGGGGGTCATATATAAATTTTTAATCATAATAAATGATTTTTTGATCCATTAAGGTGGAAAGTTTATTCAATGTTTTTTTGGAGTTTTTCCTTGATACTAAACCCAAAAACCAAACCATATAATTTGTTCTAAAAAAAAAAGTAAGCCCAAAGACTATATCTCATAAATAACCACCGATTTAATTTAAGTAATACGGTTCAATCAACTATATGACTTGTATTATTTGTAACACTCTAGAAAGGGTTCAAAATTAAATGACAACTTGTATCAGTAGATAAAAAATGACTCTATTTTAATAGAGTAGATACTTGTCCACTTATACTTTTGAGTATGTAAGTTTGTTTCAATATACCTTTAATTTTTCAAAATACAAAATTAACCCCTAATTTTTTTTGTCGACCAATTTATAACCCCTAATTAAACAAATAACATAATTTATTTCAAGTTAAAATAGTAATCATATTTTTCTTATTAACTTTGTAGTAAAACAAAGAAATAACTTTTTGTGGTTAAAAAGAGAAAAAACCCTAAAATTTAGGTGTTGTTTTCTTCGTTCATTCATCCTTCAAGAAAAACGAAGACAAATCTTTGGTGGTCTCCAACATTCCCCGGTGTTCTTTCTACCTATCGAATCCTGCAACGTCTTCTTTTCATATATCATCTCGATCACCTTTCTCGTTCTATTTCCTTTTACATAGTCATTTTTGGCGGATCTCCTTTCTTGTTCTATTTCTTTTTACTTTTCCACTTAAAAAGTAATTGAATTTTTTTTTTTTTTTTGGGGAAAAAGATTCATAGTCATATTGGATTCGGGTTAGTTTATGGCTAATGAATCATGGTTTTCGTGACTAGTCTTGATCGATTTCTGATTCTTGGGATTTTTATCTTTATTATTATGGATCTCATTATGTAAAGATTGTCTTTCCTCTCTTCTAGAATGCCATGTCATCAAATACTTTACTATGGGTATGATACATGTCCCACAATCTCATAATTAGCGTTTCATTTAAAGTAGGCGTCCTGGACTTTCTGTTAATCATCATAACTGGAGCCCAAACGAAAAGGCCCAAATCTGATAACTCAGCTAAGGTTTATGTTCTTCTACCAAGTCCGATACCTATTTTTCTGCGTTCTCTCTCACACACCATCAATGGTGTTTCGATTTTTTCAATGACTGAATTCGAGATGGAGAATCTCTTCGTATGTCTCCACTTGCGTTGTGTAGCCTTCTACTCCACTTAACCGAAACGTTCGAGTTACAGATTCAACCCATCATCGCCTCAAAGACCGACGTTTAGCACGATCTTGACATTGATTGTGAATTATCACTCTGCAAGGTGGTCTATTCTTCAC